TTTTTTTCTCCAGATGGATTATGACAATGATGTTTCAGACCACGATATGGTCTTGTAGATTTCTGGCCACCAGTACGGACGTGAAGACCACCTTGACACGAGTCCCATCCCGATCATTTGCCTAACTCGACTACCCTGGCCCAAGCGATGACTTTACGAAACGAGCAATGTGAAGGAAAGGATATGATTGGGCGGCAAGAAGTTCCAGCTGAGCACCTGATTGGCCAAGGCCAGGTAGCGCTGAAAGACGCACGACATCTGAGCGCTGATGTTCTCGCGCCGGCTGAACTCCTGCAGGACCTCCATGGTCATTGCGAAGATCTGACGAAGACCATCCTCCTGAAACATGCCACAGCTACAATTACCATGCAGTCATCTTCACTGGACAATCACACGTATGCAGTAAATATATAAACATTTTGGGGTCGTGCACCCTCCCAAAAAAATATATACCGGTATATATATTTGAATGACTTTTTAGAAAAATATTTATCTAGAATGTATCAAAACTAATAAAATATACGACAACGATATGTTTTGCAATATTTCTGTCAGTCAATCACATTTTTTTCCTAGTTTTTCCTAAATCCAACTGCCTTTTTAAAGAGTACATATATTTCATCAAACTATACAGCAGTATGTTTCGCTCTTTTTATGCAGTTGATATGACAAACAATACAAAATGCATAATTTTTTAAATTATTAAAATGGAGTTCAAAATTCAAATCTGTCTTTAGTAAATTTGTTTTGTTTCATTTGTATCAAAAACAAAAGAAAATAACCTGCAAGGATTTTTAATGTAAAATAAATGTTTTCAATTAAATAGTGGTTTAAAAAATGTAAATTATTAAAATGATATATTTTTTTCTTTGCATCCCAACCACAAAGAACATGGTTATTTGTTGGTTTTCAGATATTTAAAAAATAATTAGCAATTATTGATCAATAACAACTATGGATTATATTTTCTTGTTATAAGTATAAAATAACAGTAAATAAAACACGTTTTTTTCCAAACCTCAACAATTTTTTACACACTTAGTATTACAATTTTGCTTGTTAATTAAGTAATATGTGTGATCGCTGTGCAGCAATTTGTTCCTGCTGCGGTTGATTCTTTTACGTTGCTCTGTAAATAAAGGTGTATTTCTCATTTTGAATGAGGGCAAGGCACGCACCTGAAAGAGGCGTTTGCAGCTTCCGTGGAACTCCATGCTCAGCCCGATGCTGCTGGTCTTGCTGGAGCTGGAGAACTCGCTGAGCAGCGCCGTCAGGATGGAACACGCCAGCGTTTGCTGCAGCAGCACAGTCAAACGCTCATGTTGCTCCGCCACCTACTGGCCACCGGCTTCGGTGCACTGCGTCTGGAGATGCGAGTGTTTTTACCACACTGGGGTTCCCGCTGCCGATGAGCTGTCCCACCTCCAGGAAGATACTTTTGCAGCTCACGGTTTTATCGAGAGTGCCACGCTTGACGATGACGGCCACAGCCAGCAGCATCTGCTCGCGCACGTACTTTTGCAAGCTAAAATGACAAAACAATCACTGTTTTCCCCCCTGCATTTTCATTTCTACCTGAAATACGCCCGTTCGCCTGAACACTTCTCTTTCATATTTCCACCTTAAAGACTACATGCCATCTACAGTGCATTTACGTAGCACTCCATCTTTAAAATGCACTTACGGGTACAAAAGAAGAAGAAGAAAAAAAAAGAAAAACACCTCCCCACTTGTATTCCCACTTTAAATACCTGAGCCCTGCCGTGCAGAGTGAAAATTTGTGAGAGGGTTTGTAATTGCTTGTAGATGCCACAAGGTGGAAGAAAAGCAATATTTTTGTCAAAAAGAAGCACCTCAACTGACAAGATGCCACAAGTTGAAGGCGAAGCGTTACTTTGGTCTTACTGGAGCGCCTCAATTCACTTCAGCAGAGTTGCTTGGCACCAAAGCGACGCCAAAGCAACACTTTTATTGCTTTAGCCTGAGCACACAAACCATAAATAGGCCGTTTTTTCAGAGAATAATTAAAATCCCAAGAAGCGAATTCACGAATGCTCCCGCGACACCTTTCTAGCTTCATTTCCACTATAAAATCACATCTTCGCCCTCATTGCCACCTGGATTTCCACCTTAAACACTTTCACTTTAAACACCTTCAAAACACCTCAGCACCACATCACGGCAATTCAATTTCCAGCGTGTACTAACTTGGGTCTGTGCAGCACGTATGTGAGCAGGAAGGCTCGGAGGGATTCGATGCTGCTCTTCTCCAACAGGATCCACTCCCTCACCACCGCCTCCATGATGGCGGTGGCGGCCTGGAACAGCACGTAGTCCACCTTGCTGCTCTCTGAAATACAAGCAGCAGTGCACTCTAGCATCACACGTTGACAACATCCTCATCAAAGTGCGCGCTATTGTAAAAATATCAGGAAAAATACAGATGGGTGAAGAAAAAAAGTATTGTTACTTTTCTAGGAATGCGACATACAAAATGGAACAAAATAGAAAAAATACAACTTTCTTGATCTTTAAAAAAATACTCTTCAATTTGAAAAATATGACTCAAATATCAAAAATTGAATCGAAAGAATTGTCTTTAAAATTATATTTTTTGACAAAATTGGACTTTTATTCATTCCTAAAAATTACTTTACTTATATTACATTTTTATATGTCTTTTCTGTTAAAAAAAATTTTTAGTCTAACAAAAAAAAAAAAATGGAACTCATCTTGAAAAAGTACAACCTCTTGTCTTTCTACAACTTTTCAAATACTTTTTCATGAGCCGTTAGTATGAAGGGAACGTGTGTGAGCACTCACCTAAGATGTGTTTACAAATGGCGAAGGGCGACTTGGACTTCCTGAAGGAGAGGAAGACGTGCTCGGCGTGCTGGCGCTGCTCTGTGCTCACCATGGAAGGCGGTGCCTGAAAAACAAAACCACATTTACTGTCTTTAAATCACAAGAAAAAAGTCAGAAGATAATTGGAACATGAGAAGAAAACTAAAATGAAACGAAGAAAAATGGCACCACTTTCACAATCCTCCCTCAACATAGGATCACTCTGTAGTCAATGAAGACGCTCAAAGCAACCCCGGTGTCAGTGACAGACTGAGGTGGCCTGTACGTAATGAACCGGTTAGTGATGATTCCAGTGACGGACGAAAACCCAACCCCGTCAGTGTTTAGTCAGTCATTTTCTCGAAATTTCTCATCTTTCATCAGCAAAACGCACTTCTGTCAGTGACGGATTGATAGACCTTTTCTCGGAACTGATGGAATGCCCTCGTCTGGCAATAAGATGACAATAAAACTTCTCTTGAATAAAAACGGTTAGCTGAGGGGGTAACATCAAGAGTCTGGGGCGGGGGTGTCTAACTGATTTGACTTAGCGTTACTACATAGTTAGCTTTCTGGGGGTGGGGGGGCAAGTTACACGACTGTGTTTGGTGGCTCACTGTTGCTAATTAAAGGGGCTACTTGTTTTTCGTCTGTCGGCACAGCTTGTGAATACAATTTGTGGCATATGCTGGGGATAACATAGCTTAGCTTTGGGATGCTTCATGTCCATGGAAGACTGAGAAGCTCCAGGAAACTAAAGAGAGCCTCTGCTCGCGTAACCAGGGAATTTAAGGACATTACTCGGCTGGGGAAGCGCACTCACTTCTCGGAGAGGGAAGCATGCTGGGGTTTTTTAGGCAGCTAGGAAGCAACTTCGACACTGAAGTGGTACCAACACGAAAAGTGGAATTTTCTTGACCAGCCTAGTATAGCTTGGCGAGACTTAAGGTGAGTGGAAGCCGAATATCGAGGTCAATATTCGTGGGGGAAAAGAGAGGAGGAGGATGAGAAGAAGAAGTAGAAGCGGCGTCGGCGGCAGCTTGGCCACGCACCGCCGCCGTTCGCGCTCAGGTACAAAGTCTGGCCATGAAAAATCGGCAATGGCGAACCCCAGAAAGACTCGTCTCGCTTCATCGCGTTCGGGTTTACACAGAGTCGAGTCGCACCCGAAAAGGCTTATTACGTCTCACCATTAAAACTTTGGCAGCGCTTTCCAGCTGTGTAATAACTTCTGCCGCACCGAGCGCCGCCATCATGGATGCCGGGCCCTTGAAGATGACGCAACCGCGCAAGGCATTGTGGGTGTCTCAAAACACAAGACATGAGTTCAGTTTACTTAAAACCCCAATAATAAACATAAACAAATAATTTTACATTTTAAATGCAAATATTTAAACAAAATATATTGCCTCAAAACACAAGCCATAATTGTAACACGTCCTGAAAGACTATCTTTTAAGTGTTCAAAAATCACAATTATGATTAAAAGCTTGTCCAAATTCAATTCCCCCAAAACAAATATTGAAAAATTTTAAAAATACTAAACGAACAGTCATTAAAAATTGTTCTTGTACTTTTCAAAACACTATTCGTGAAATATCCTCAAATCTTTCAGTCCAAAACACAAACTATTTAAAAAAATGTCCAAAACACCAAATATCATGACAAATGTCCTGACAAACCATTGTGAAAAAAAACCCAAATACCAACCATCATTAAAAAACAGTCCCAAAGGTCAAGCTGTTCTTAAAAATTCTCATAGAACACCAAATAGTTTTTAAGTGTCCCAAAATGTCATACCAGCAACTATTTAGCATCCCAAATGAGCTATTCGTAAAAACTATTTTAAAAAGAAATGTAAAAGTATTTTATTTTTAAAAATATCTTGAAGCAACAATTTCGAAAATTGCAACTATGAAGAAACTATCACAAATTAATAATTGTCAGCCATTTCATAACAATGTGCCATGGTGAAAATAAAATGCACAAAAAAAAAAAAATTGTCCTGAAATAAATATGCGACAATTAAAACAAAAAAAATCTGACAGATTGTTTTTGCATGTCTAGTGGAAACAAAAATCTAGATTTTATTATGTATATTAATTTCATATAAAATCTAGGATGTGCTTTGTGCATAAAAAGAAACAGTGAGGGGGTCCAAGTGGGTTAATTTAATTTATACATTACATTTGACACACACAAAATAGACAGCGACATTGACAAAGTCTCCATTCATACACGAATGTAGAAAAAGAAAAAAAAGTCACCTTGATAGTAATAATAATAATCATAATAATAACAATAATAATACTGCATAGAATTTTGGACATTAGCACAGTGGGAAAGAAAATAAGGTGAAGGAGGGACATGGGAAAGATACAAAAAAAATATGTATATCTGTATAAATATATATTCACGATTAATATACATTACACACTCCTTGGTGGGGTACAAATACATACCTTAAAAAAAAAAAATCAGTCAACGATTGTCAGTCATCACTTTGTAACCAAAAAAAAAACAAAACAGTAACACTCACACCTGGTTACTCATAAAGCTTTTTGTTGTCCTTTTAAAGGGCCAGTAAGTGATAAACATTGTAGCCCTAAATATGTTTTTTCGGACTGCAAAAATGGAAAAAATATATATATTTTTTTGTTTTTGTTTTTTCTTGGGAACAAAGATATAGATGTATTTTGCCTTCCGTCCCTCTAACAGACAGAAAAGAACACAAGGACAAGTGCAGTAACAACAAAAATGAAAGGCAACACAAAGGAGGCAACTCCCTTCCTACCCCCCAAAGAAGAAATCAGAGGAGGTGTCGGGATTGTTCAGATGGCTTTACAGCACACACAAGGCACATTTCGTTAGGCGAATAGCATAATTGCCTACATTTTAGCAAATACTTTCATTGATTTGGTAATGGGGGGGTTTAAAAATGACTTTGGCAATTCTGCCATACAGGCTAACAATTTACAGTCATTGTCCAAGAATGATAATGTTCAAAACAAAAAATAAATGGACAAACTACACCATCTTGCCATTCGTAAGGGATCAGTCAGGGATACTGACAAAAAAAAAAAAGTACAACTGATTCTGCAGATTGTCAACAATCATACCGGTTTTTAATTTTAGGATAAAACTGCAACACTTAACCATGGCCTGTGACATACATGAAACAACTATCTACGATGGAGTGTTAGGGGCACACAAGACAATAAGAAAAAAAAAGTTGAATAACGAGAAAAAAGTTGTAATGTTATGGGAATAAAGTCATAACGTGACGGGAATAAAGCAATGTTGTAACAGTCATTAAGGTTCCGTTAATTAAGTCACAATATTACAAGAATCAAAAATGAAGATGTAACATAATCAGAAAGAAGTTGTCACATGTGAAATGAGATGTGTTGTTAGAAGGAAAAAAAAGTCGTAAATTGCGAGAACAGAAAGTTGTAATGCTACGAGAATCGTGACCTGTTAAAATGATATTATGAGATAAATTTACAATTATTTTCAAAGTATTCCGAACTTCATTAAATTAGGTGTTTTAAGTAAAACGTCGACATTTTTTTCTTACCCTTTTCATGATTAGTTTTCTTGCATAAAACGACAATTTTTTTCTTGAAAGATAACTTTATTCCCATACAATTACAGATTTATTTCCCCTCATACTTTTTTTAGCATTTTCCTTGTACTACAACGTTATCCTAGTAACATTACATAGTAATGTTTTTTTCCTGTTATATGAAGACTGAATTCACATGACAAAGCTTTTTTTTTTCTTCTTGCATTTAAAATCACAGGATTCACGCAATTCTTCGACTTTATTTTTGTAACTAGGACTTTATTCACACTCTGAGATTTGTAGATCCCTCTTTTTCTTTTCCTCGGTAACGTGGCCTTCATTTTCTTTGATCAATTTTGGCGATCACACTCAAAACTTGTGATGTTATGGATAAACTCAGGATGCCCTAAAATAAACCTTGTGCGCGCCCCCCCCCCACCCAAAAAAAACCTTTACAAAGCATTTCATTCTTTTCAAACTTGCCGTAAATCCACCCGTGGCCTCTCTGAGAGCTTGGCCGTGCTGCGTTCAGGGACCTGCCCCGACGTAGGACGGGGAAGGCTCGGCCATCGACGTTCCACATTCATAATCATCATCATCATCACTCTTAAACCGCGATAAAACAGGTAATATTTAAAACAGGAAAAGAACACAAATAAGCAGCATGTTGTAAGTGAAACACACCCACACACACACACACACACACACACACACATACAGTATATACTGTAAGTGTATACATTGTAGATAAAGTAATACGTTTGTATATGGCACTTGATAATACTTTCAAATGGATATTAAGTGTTTCGGGGACACACATTGAATTGCACTTAAGTCATACGCATGTGTTTGGCTGCGTTCCCCTCGCCCCCCCCCCCTTCTCTGCTGTATTTGGCTGATGAAAATGGGGGCGTGACAAGAAAGAAGTCATTCAGGATTTTTTCCATGTATTAAAAAAATAATAATAAAATATCACATTAAATTTACATTTTCAAAGCAGGAAACTTTCTGTGAAACTTCAAGGCAGGCAAAACGTCATCAAATCACAATTACATTTAGTCAGATTTTTACAGAAAAAAAAAGTTGGCTTTTTTGTAAAGTCATGACTTTTTGAAGTGTGAACTTTGTTATATATTGGCATAATAATTATCATGCCTTTCCCCTGTAATGTTTCTCCAATTACATAGCATTAATTAACAAACATATTCTTAGAAAAGAAAAAAAAATGGATCAAATTAGGAATTGTCACAAATTGTGCCGCCTGGTACACGACATACAGGTACATATCCGAAACTTGCAGAAAACAGAAAAAAAGTTGGAATACGATCAGAATAGAGTTCATTTTTCTTGCCATTTTCTCACTCTAAAATAATTTTTAAAATGCTAAAATTTCTGGAATTTCCAGATCTGTAAACCTTCTCTGGAATTTTAGTTAAAAAAAAAACGACTCAAAACTGCAAAGCCTGAGGTGCCAAATGATTGTCTCATATCTGTCTGAATGATCGCTGCAATGAAACAGATGACTACTGGGACACTCGGTCTATTGTATTCTAAACCGGTGTGTCATGGCACATTAGTCTTTTGTGAGAGATCATCGGGTGTGCCGCAGGAAATGATGCAATGTCAATTTGTTTGACAAATAAAATAATCCTAAATATTTAGCTTTGTTCATTTATCAATGGCAACCACACAACAATAGGGAAAAAATGCTCGTCTACCAGATGACAGATGGACATAATTAACCTGTTTATCCACTTTTGTGAATCATTTTGCTCAGCGGTGTGCTGTGAGATTTTTTTCCGATGTGACATATGTGCCTTGGTTCAATAAAGGTTGGGAAACACTGTTCTGAACATATCTAAACTTCCCTTGGAAAGTATCCTGCTTTGACTATGTCCAACATTCTCCTTCCCCCAGAAAACTTCTCTCTCAGAACACGTTCTTTTAAAATCAAATAATTACACAATAACACTTCCTTAGAGGGGGGTCGGCGCACCCCCAACAGTTTGGGAATCGCAAATGTTTCACATAGTCTGTGGGGAATATACCGGTATGTAAAGTGTATTCCAAACACTTCCCAACTTTGAATACCGCCGCCCCCAAATTTCACCTGGAAAACTTTGGCGCATATTTCTCAGCCCATTTGACTCACTTTGGTTCAGTCCTACTCTTGCACACATCCCTCCTGTTGAACTTACCCCACTCCCTCTTCACAAGTGATATTTCAGTGTTTAAAATTTTAAAAAAACAAAACACTGTGCTTAAGTCACTTTGGAGTGTTTCAGTCATGTAAGACAAAAGGAAGGAATGGCAGAAAGGGACTCCTGACGTTCTGACATTCTTACCAGACTCGACAAGTGACAGATGGTTGCTTCTTGGTCCCGTGCGAGGAGCGGTGTCAGTCATCTAAACGTAGACCGGCTCGCATCCTTCCCCCACTTCCTCGTCCTCTTCTTCGTCCTCATCCTCTTCCTCGGGGCTGGGCGGCCCCTCGCCGCCATCCAAAGGCTTGGGGTAGCGAAAGGGGCAGCCGTTATCGTCAAAGAACCTGCGGAAGGTGAACTCGTAGAAAGCGTGCTCCGGGTGCTTGCCGTGAGGCGAGCACAGGGCGTCCAGGGCCCGGCTGCTGTCCCCGCTGTCATTCCAGGCCCCGGGGCCGCCCTCCTCCTCCACCGGGTCGAAGTTGGACGTGTCCATGGGGTGGGCGATCTTGGGGCGGTAGGGGGCGGGCTGCTGGCGAAGGTTGCTGGAGAAGTCCACCTTGCTGAAGAAGGGGTGCGCCTTGATCTCACCGGCGCCGTTGGCACCCAGGCGGTCCTGGGCCGAGCAGCAGAGGCGCCCGATGATGTCCACGGCTTCTGGGCTGAGCTTGACTTGGGCGGGAACCTGTAGCGTACTCTCCCAGTTGATTACCTGGATGTAATTGAGAGATTATTCTGGTGTGCACAGTGCGAAGAGTGATTATAAAGACCGATTATTTCGTGGTGTGTTAAGAGTGATGATCCTGTGGTGCAATGTGTGTTACAAGTCATCATTAAGGATGATTATTATGTGGTGTGGGGTGATGTGGATAAAAAGTGATGATCCTGTGGTATAGTGTGTGCGTGCATGTGTGGCAGTAATTATTAAGAATGACTGCCATGTGGTGTGCGGTGTGTCAGGAATGATTATCATGGAGTGTGGAATGGGGCTCGAGTGATTATTATTATGTGTCTGTGATGTGTCAGGAGTGATGATCCTGTGGTGTAGTGTGTGTTAAGAGTCATGATTAAGAATGACTATTGTGTGCTGAGGGGTTTGTTAAAAGTGATCATCATGTGGTTTGTGGTATGTTCAGAATCATTATTCTGAGCCATTAACCTATAGTGTGGGGTGTGATTATCTTGCAGTGTAGAGTGTTATTGAGCGTGAGTATCCCACATTGTGCCATTTTATCTTGCATTTTACATCCTTTGCAATCCAAGGCACGATTCTTGCATTTCTCCTATAGATTAACCCAAGTGATTATCTTGTGGTATGGGGTGCGTTTAGAATGATATGTCCTCGGCGATCTGCTTGGAAGACACTCAGGTTTCGCAGTCGATCGCAAATCGTTGTGTGTGGTCAAATTATTTTTAAAATGAACAATCTAAAGCAGGAACCACACCTACAATTAATGTGGACAAATTCTAACATTTCCGTTCACTTCACTGATAATTGGATGTTTCTAGAAGGTAATCCTGAGCTATTATCTTGTGCTGTGGGGTGTGTGTCAAGAGCGATTTTTCCTCCTCGATCTCCCGGCAAAATAGTCACCGCCAACGATCACTTACTCTGCATATACTCACCTTAATCTGAGTCTCCGTGGGAGTGGGTGCCAGGAAAGGCGGCTGCCCCACCAGCATCTCAAACAAAATCACCCCGACGCTCCACCAGTCACACAACTGGGTGTAACCTGAAGACACACACAAGAATCCATCCATCAGCACTTTAGTTGTCGTCATCGGACGTGATGGGTACTGGGTTCAGATGCTCCCACCTTTGCGCAGCAGCACCTCGGGGGCGATGTAGTTGGGCGTGCCCACCAGCGAATGAGCCAGGCAGCGCTGGTGTTGCCGATTGGCCCGCTGTTCCAGTGTCATCAGCCGGTCGCCACAGCGGCAGTTGGACACGTCGTCCCAGAAGTCGCTGGGCTCCATGCTGTCCTGTCTCATGTGGCTGCCTGGTGGAAGAGAGCCAGGGTGGTTAAGTAACCAGGGGTGGAAATAAACCACATATAAGCACATCATATATACCATTTAGTCTTAACTTGACTTGGGGGAAACAGGACCCAAGTTTGTCATTTCCGAGGACCTTACCTTTCTGGTAGTACTTAGAGTTGTGGGTCCAGCGGAAGCCCGTGCAGAGGCCAAAGTCCGTCAGCTTGATGTGTCCGTCCAGGTCGATGAGGATGTTGTCGGGCTTGATGTCGCGGTGGATGAAGCCCATCTTGTGGACGCTCTCGATGGCCAGCGTCAGCTCGGCCACGTAGAAGCATGCCAGCGGCTCGGGGAAGACGCCCATGCGAATCAACAGGCTCATCATGTCGCCGCCGGGGATGTAGTCCATGACAAAGTACAGGCTGTCGCGGTCCTGGAAGGAGTAGTAGAGGCGCACTACCCACTCGTTGTCCGCCTCCGCTAAGATGTCGCGTTCAGCCTTCACGTGGGCCACCTGTGTCGACGTCCATCCGCATTAGTACAACCAAAAATTATCTACTCACAAAAAGTCGACCCATAAATGTCCCAGTTCAATTCGAATCGATACTGAAAGAGTTGTTTTGTCGTCAAATTGCTCAACAGTTAAGAGATCACCTGGTTTCTGTTGAGGACGTCTTTCTTGCGTAGAGTCTTCATGGCGTACAGGGCGTACGTGTCCACTTTGCGCGTCAAGCACACCTCCCCGAAGGCGCCGATTCCCAGCGTCTTGATTTTGACAAACATGGACTTGTCCATCTTGGCGCGACGCAGCCGATTGTAGTTGGACTCCTTCTGGTTGAGCATCTTCCTCATCTGGCCCTGCTCGGCCTCGGACAGGCCGGCCTGAGAAATGGGAACAACAAGGCTTAAGAAATGAGCAGAAGTTGACTCACGGTCTTACTTACTGGAACTGTCTAACAAAGGTTGCAAAGCATAGAAGACCAGCCATCAAAAATGAAACAATACCACGTGTTTTTAGTCCCACTACTTGCAATCTAATTATAAAAAAAAAAAATTGAAGCTAGGTATACTAAATATTAAACTACATTAAGCAGCATAGAGTTGATTTTATTTCATCAAGGAGGAACATACAGTATTTACCAATTTTCTTGAATATCCTCCATTACTACCTAATATTCAATTGATCTGATGAAAACAAATAATTTGTAGATTTGCATTTTGTTTTTTGAGGATCAAGATACTTTGTTGTTCTGGAAGTCAGAATTTGGGAACACTCTGTCATACCCTAAAAATGCCTCAGGAGGAGATTAAAAGGGTAGAGGCCAAATTTGCATCAAGATACAGATCACGTCGTCTGTAACAACCTCCCCAGGGGAGAATTCTCCAGATTTCAGGCTGTAGATTATCTGCTAAATATTTTGCTGTGGACGGTTGCGAACAAATCTTAACTTTAGGCGACAAAGCCATCACAGTGTTTGTCTTGTCAAAAATGTCCCCGGTGGATATGGACGTTCAGATTCTCTGCTATGTGTGATGTCAAAGCCTGAAGCGGTTGTATGACTTCAAATACCGACAATGTTCCTCTTTCTTGAACTCACACATTGGTCAGCCTCCAGCCAGTCATAAACTAAAATATTTTATGTAATCGGGTGAGAATTCCACAAACCTTCTTGGGCTAAACCTTAGTGCCGATGCAGGCAAGGCCAGATTAAACCGTTTACGGCAATCTTTACACTAAGTAAGGCAAGGTTGCTAATTATTAAATCCATTTGAAGTACTTTATGTCAGGGTGGAAAAAAATTGAGTTGGAAGGATTTGGATGTCCCTTACCTTGGACATTTCCTGTTCCAGCTGCAACCTGCGGTTGAGCTTCTGCTGGTAGGTCTTCATGACGTTCTCGATGTGCTGCTCCATGTAGAACTTGAAGGCAAAAGGTGAGTAGGTCTTGATCCGGGACTCTCGCTTCTCCTCGTCCCGGCCGTTTTTCCTCACCGGCACGGGCGATGTCTGGATCTGCTTCTTGTCTTTGAGTGTTTTCTCGGCCTTGCCGGCTTTTGCCTTCTCCTTAACCTGCTGGGATCCATCATCTGTGATTCCACTACCGCCGCTGCCGCTGTGTGTGCTTCTGGAAGCGGGACTCCCGAGATCCTGAGCCCCACCGGCGGCTCCCACACCCTCCAGAGCCCCGGTTTCTCCAGGTGACAAAATGAGATTCTTGGGGTAGGGCGGCGGTGGGCAGCGGGGTTCTTGGGGGGGCTCCAGAGAGTAGGTCTCCTCTGGCATGTAGGCCAGTGAGTCAGTTGTTTCCTGGGCTTGGGCCGCCATCCAGCTGGGATGGCACGGTCCCACTGCTGTCTTGGGTTCCGGTCTCATCACTCGAATGCTCTTGACTGGCTGTTGGATGGGTGGCGATGTGACGGCTGTGATGGTGTTGGGAGGACCTAGGGAAGGATCCTGGGGCGCGCTCATGGGAGGCCGAACCCCATTGGACACGGCCGAGCGGCTGTTGAAGGAGTTGGCCCTGCTGGGCACCCGGACCTCACCCCTGAATGGCCCTTGAGGTTGGGGCTGTCTGGCTTGGGGGGGCCCTTCGGGACTCTGGGGTCCTGCCCAGTGATGCTCATACAAGTCCAGGTTGAGACTTGCCCTGGATGGTGTCATCAAGCCCTGGGGAAGATCGGGGAAGTCCGGGCCCATAGGTGGCACTCCGCCTGGGGAACGGGACATCATGTGGACCTGATGGGAGGTGGGGCTCGCCTGACGCGGGTGCGAGTGAGGAGCCAGGTACAGATTGGCAGGGTACCCCCCTGCACCTCCTCCTGGCACGTTCTGGCCTATAGGCACTTTAGCTTGCATGTTGACATAGTTGTCAGGGGGCGCCATGGGGGGTGGTGCCATCTTGTTTTGAAAGGAGGCAGTTCTCTTGACTCCATAGCCTGCGGGCTCCATTAAGTGAGGCCTGGGGTGGCCATAGTCATAGTGGGGGCCCGGCACCTGGGCCCCAGGCGGCAGCGGTTGACCAGGCACATTGTAGCTCATAATGGGCCCGTGCTGCTCCAAACTTCCAGAATAGCCTTTCTGCTGGGCCCCCGGTGGGTACATGGCATTGGCCGGGCTAGTCTGAGGGGCCATGACTGGTGGATAGTTACCCATGCTGGGTGGTCGACCCATCGGGTTCCCCATTGGGGGACCCTGTGCTGCTCCAGAGGGCGGCATCATGTAGTTCATGACGGGGGGAGCGTTCATGTAGGGTCTGGGCATCTCGCCTTCCGGACCATATCCGGCCACACCCTCGTACATGGGGTGGTACGGGGGCATGGCACCGGCAGCTTCTCCTGCGGCTTCCAGCGGCGGGCGATGGTCCATTGAGGGGGGCATGCCAGCTTTTCCTAACATCACAAAAAACAATTTATCAATCACAAATGAATGTTTAGCATTTTTTAATGCTAGTTAGAACACCACCAGTTGGGATCGAGATGTCGCACTGCAACCTCAAAGTCACAAGGGCATACCTGGAGAAGTCTGCTTGATAACACGCACAATGAGCTCGTTCCGAGGGTCCAGGTAGCTCATCTTACTAATGTATTCAAGAGCCGCTTCGATGTTCCTGCTTCCTGTTTGCTTCAGCGCCCGGATGGCCATTTCCTATGGACACAAAATAAAACATGAGGACCTCCACAACGGCACCCCGAAACATCCATCAATGCATTCACTACACTGCGTCTCCTGTTCAGAGTTTGGGAGAGCAGGAGCCGAAAACACCTTACTTGGTAGAGCTACGACCCTGGACTGGTTGCTCGTCAATCGCAAGGCACATTAGGAGAGAGACAACCATTGACATTGTAGTGGCGACTTTATCCTAGTTGCCTGCACCAAAATCAGGCGAGTCGGTTTGCATTGCAATCAGACTGGCAACCCGAAATATTGTATATGACGTGATGGGGGAGAATAAAGCCATGGAGCTGCACTTTTATTCATAATGTCCCTTGTTTATATCATCTGGCATCTCTAATCCACGAGGTTAGCAGCCCATTTAATGTTGTATTGTATCATTATATCTCATGTCATTATTTACATCATATTTCATGTCCAATGCACCATCATTCACATCTACACAGACGTCATGTACAATACTGCCATATAAATTAATGCATACACTAGTAAAAAGTACCATATTTACATCATATTTACTTTCCAGAGCACAGAGGGTTCTGGATTGTTTGGGGAACAGATAAAAAAAAACATTCCTGTATCCATTTGAGAAATTCCCAAATCAGCACGTATCAGCAACAGATGGTCCAGGAAACACACAAACAGCACAAGTGGGTCAAACGGCTCAAGTCGTGACACGTAATATGTAGTTTAGGAGTCATTTTTCTTCCCTTTTAATGTAGGTCACCGCTGAAAAAGACAAGCGCTGATCCACGGTCTGTCTCAAGGAAAATGCAAAAAGCGGAACGTGAGGTCAATTGTCCCGCCGACACACGATAATCATTGGCCTTTGGTGTTGTTATGGCACAACGGTCGTCACAGCTGCGCGACGCCGTGGGGCGAGGTCCGTCAGCCAGGCGGGGAAAACATTCCCTTATAACCAATTATGCGTGGCCTCGGTCTTCGCATTCACGTCTGGATTTGACCCTCATAACCGTCATTCCTGGATGACATTGCGATAACGTGGCCTCTGGGTTTTCGCTACCTTATTTTCAAGCACATTCCACATCTGATGAGTCCAAGGAGAGGAGGGGGGGCGGAAAGGAAGCGCACAGCCACCCAACAGATTCCTGCAAGGCGGCCACTTTTGCACTAACGGGAATTTCCTGACATTAAAAACGCACCACCCAAAATATTCCTGTCTGATGCCTGATTTCTTTTTTGGAAAATATGTTCCCCAGAACCTCCATTTGTTGAATTTATCTTAATATCGATTCCAAGAGGCTAAATTCTGTAATCTCGAAATTCATGTCCCCCAAATGTTACATGCAGATGCCACTCTAGGCAAAACCGTTAACATAACGTAATTTTCTATTGGACCGTTGCTCACTGATGACAATTTATGCTCGGAAACATCAGAAGAGAAATGAGAAAAAGTTGTGCTCCATAATTACTCGTCCCGTAGGTGGCATTGAAAGTTTCCAGAAATGTTGCTTCCCTATCCCACGAGTGTCTGACCCCACCAGAATCGTCACGGTTTAATCACCCATGGGAAACAAAAAAAAAAAGTTAGAAATGTTGACTTGGCCCGCCGTCAGTCAACTTTTATAAGAATTTGATAAGAATCTGAGAAGAATCTCACAAGTCCTGGCGAGCAGGAGGAAAGAAAATTGGTGTTGTTGAGGAGCTTTATAAAGCAATGACAATTCTTCCTTTAGCTACTCAGTCAGCTGCTTGCAACTTCCAAGGAATTTCCCACTCGGACACAGAAGTGAGGGACTTGTGTTGACGCCCACAAGAGACATCTTACAATTTCTGATCATCTACAAATAAAAAAAAGGACTTTATTTGAGGTAAACATCAGCACCACCACGGGAACACACTCGCTGGAGATCAGCTGACGTGACCGCCAGAAGCGTGTTTGTATCGACTACTGTTATAGTGCGCAACTGTACACGCACACATTCACGCCTCATGTTTGAAGTGTTTAACATGCAAATTGAGAAATGAAAACCGTACAACCAAGGAACTCGCAATAGTTCCAGTAAGTGTGAGAGAAAGTTCCAGTGAGAGTGCTCAAGTGAGCGAGCGACAGAGTGAGTTTGTGTGAACGTGTTCGAGTAAGCCAGAGTGAGCCGGTATGTGAGAGGGTGACAAACTGAATGAGTTTTGAGAGAGAGTGAGACGGAGAGCAAGAGGATGAGTGATGGGAGTGTGCGAGCGACAGAGTGAGCGAGTGACAGTGTGGGTGAAAGTGAGAGTGAGTCAGAGAGACCGACAGTGCGAGTGTTAGGGAGTGAGTTGTAATGGGTGAGAGAGTGTGTGAGGAAGCTCGTGTGAGGGAGTGGGCGGGGAAATGAGTGTTTGGAGTGAGGGAGTAAAAAGCGAGAGCGAGAGTCAATAAATTTGAAGGTGATCTTGAAAGTAACGTGAATTAGTCAGGGTGAGTGACTGACGTGAAGATGGGCACCGTGCAAATTGGAACCCCAGAATTCATCATATTCTGATTTGAACGCATCTTCTGACAGTGTCAGTGAAAAGTGGGCTTGCACAGGGGTGGAAAATGACGGTAACGATTGGCGTCAGGTTGCCGTTCCCCACATTCTGCCGACCAGGAGACGGGAATTTCCCCGTATTTGTGATTTGCGCCGTCTCAATGCCAATGTCACACGGGCACATCCCCATCAAAATGGACGCCAACATGCTGAGTTCAGACGACAGTATGGAACATTTCAACACGCAAACAATAAACACACGCCAACAAGTCGCATCCTGTGTCTGTTGCCTCAACGCCACTGACGTGGATTCCATATGCAGGAAAAACACACACACACACACACACAAGCCTACACCGATGACAAAAACGCACAGAGACACAAACTGTACAGCGACATACACTTTTGTTACAAACACACACACATGCACACACAAACTTTACAGCGACATGCCAATCAATACACAGACAGCTACATACACTACATGTACACGTGTATAAGTAAAAGAAGTCAAATACCTAACACAAACTCATTAGAAATAACCACATACTTTCAAGTAAAATAGACACCTATGACAAATAGACCCACACAATTTAAATCTTAGGGAACGCTCAATACAGATACACACACTTTACAAATAGATTGACACTGTCGTAATGTAACACTCAGAAACATCTGACTTGGAATAAACATAATCACGATATACTTTAGAGCTACCCACACTCATTACACACACACACACACACACACACACACACACACACACACACACACAGTTTTTCATGCGCTGTCAATGCGTGGCATACCGCTCCCACCGTCCTCCCCCCTCGCTCCCCCTCTAAAACATTTCCTCCTCGGTGGTTATGCAACCAGCCGCATTGCTGGCTAATTTGCAGCTGGAGAAGTCCAGCAAGGAGAAGACGAGGACAGCTGATAAGGAACGCATTTTACAGCAATATAAACGCTCAATATACACTAATTACAACTCCACACACACACACACACACACACACACACACACACACACACACACACACACACACACACACACTCCAA